GTCAATCACAATTCACATATACAAATGCGCGGCCAGAACTTTCTCTATTACTTTAAGACATTTTGTATTCTAAATTGAAAGCAAAGAAGAAAAATTAAAAAAAAAAAGAGAAAACTCAAGAAGCACGTAGAACAAAAACTTCTTGTATTGCATTATAAACGAAAAGGTATTATTTACAACAAAGAGGTATTATATGCATCGATGTTCAAAAAAGAACGTAGAAAAAAAGAAATGCAAATGTATAATGCATTTAGCCAACTGAGACCACTAATTGATTAAATGTTTTTGCATTATCCATTTAAATTCAAACCATTTAGATCTATTTAATAAATAGTTGTAATTGGATTGATTTCATCCACCAATCATTTATCCATTTTGGTACTTCTAGTTGTTACTATAATGGCTACAGAAGAGAAGAGGGCGGCATGGGGGTGGGGCCTGACAAATGAATCCGAATTGTTTTTAAAAAGTGTTTTTTTTTTCAAATTATTTTATATTTAGCTTTAGATGTATTAAATTTTCTGGTTCTATCCCTAGCTATAGATAGATTAACCTCTCTTGACAAGTTAATCTGAATTGTGCAATTGTGAGATGAATTTGCTTTTTAGTCAATAACATTGAGAAGAAGAATTAATGCCATAAGAACTTTGATTTCATTTTTCTTTTATTAGATCTGTTTTTTTTTATTTTTTAGATTTTGATTATCAGATCTAGAATTTTTTGGATTTATTCCTCAGATCTTACCATAATATCTAGATTTGAACCAGTTAATCAGCAGATTTGGAGATTGGAAGCATGCACAGATGTCCATAAAGTTATAATTATTTTATCTCATTTTTTAAATTTGGAGCTTTATAATGTAATTTTTATTGTTCTTCAGATCTATAGTATCATTTTTTCAGATCTGTTCTTTGATATCTGTGTATTTTTGATGATGTAATTTCTACCATTAGTGCATATTTTAATAAAATTATGATATTTTATAAAAAAAAAAGTTATCCAAAAAAAAAAATTAAGAGCAGTGATGATCTATGTTTTTAAACTCGTATTGGATCAGCCGGTTGAACCGATTGAACCGGGAACCGGCTAGTTGTCTGGTCTGAGCTACCTTAAAAAATTGCCTTTAAAAAACTCAGTCAAATTCGGTCAAAAATCGAGTTTGACCGGGAATTGATGAAACCGGACAAAATCCGGTTTTTTCCTTTGCTGGAGTAAGATGGATGTTTTTGATTGGTTTTGCCAAGATGAAAAGAAACCGGTGCTTTGATTTAAAAGCCCTTCATGCCAAAACTCCTTAGCTAACCTTCATTTTCTAAAATCCAAAATTTTGACCAAATATGCATGAAGTTCCCATGTCCTAATTCCCAAGTGGATCCCAATTCGCCATGCCTGAGGTGAACAAACACACAAAAGCCATAGAGAGAGTTGAATTGGATTTAGGAGAAAGAGATAAAAAAAAAAACAAAAGAAACGAGCCAAAAAGAGACGAGAAGAGAGAAGAGTTGGAAAAAAACAATGAAGAAAAGGGAGAAATTTCAGGTGAGTTTATTGTGCGATATAAAAGAAGAGCGAGAGAGAAAGTTGGTCATTGGTGTCGCCTAGAGGAAGAAGAAGAATAAACAAAAAAAAGGAAAACCAAGTGATGGCCAACAAATAAAGTGGAAGTTCCTAGTTCGTTTTGACATTTATTTACTTTGAAAACCCTAATACGTTTTGCTAATTATAGTTTGGCCCTTTATAATTTTAGCAAAATGTAAAATTAACCCATCATATTTTCTAAACTACATTTCTACTTATAAATTTAAAGTTCTTTAACTAGAGTCCTTTTGGATTAAATCTAAACTCATCAAAGAACTATAAAGTTGTAAATCACTAATTTAAGGGACACTTTTATATATTATTTTTTATTATATTATTAATTTATATTTATGACATATTTATGATGTCATTCGATTTGACTCCCTGCTCGAATTTGATCAAACCCATTAATTCTTAACCCCTGAGTTCAGTCGAGTCAGTACCCTGTCCGAGTCTGAAAACAGAGGTAATGATGATAGATGCACTTGCCGTTGATGGTGTATTTCAATAGTGATATTGCTGGGTCAGCGTGACTATTTTCAAACAATCTTTAAAAGCTTGCCAAGCTGCAGCTACATAAATAATGCGTTCAATTTCTATGAAAACTTGGAAATGTATTCGAATTTGATGTAGAAACCAACTGTGGGTAGAATGTATGGACAAATAAGCCATTGATGATAGATGTGAATGCTTAATGATAATAGGTGTAATATATTATCAGCAGATTTTCATCCCAAAAGAAGCTGCAATTGGTATTTTAATTTTTCCCTTTTTCATCTAAGTTGTTATGTTTTAGCTGTAGTTTTTTAACTCATTTTCTGTTTTTCACACTTGGGCCTTGTTTGATATCCTGATTTAGCATTTAAATTTAATAAATTCAGATCTTATATGTTTAGATGCGTTTGATAACAAAAAATTGAACATCTGAATTAATTAAGTGCCACTGAATTTCATAGGTAAAACTTGCTCTAAAAAATAAGTAATAAAGTATTCACTTATCACATAATGTGACATATATTCAAAATGTATCAAATTTAGCATTTAACAATTCAATAACTCAATAGATTCAGACTTTAGATTTCAGATTCAATTTTCAGAATTAAGATTTCAGTTTGATTTCATTTTTCATGTTCTTTAGGTATTGGTATTTGTGTCGAGAAACTAATATTCAAAGACATGAAAGGCTGAAGAGAAAAAAAAAATATTAACTAAATACCACCGCTTCATATTATTGGATTTTAATGCGTATGAGGTGCATTTTAAATGTTTTCGTACAGAACCCACCTTTACTTGGATTTAAATTGTAGAAACAGTATTTAAAAAAATTTTGAAAAATTAAAACCTGCCATTATCTTTCCAAGATTTGTTTGGTAAATTTCAAACTCATTTATAAATTGCTTCAAGAAGATGAGCATTTATATGATTCTGTACAATGCTCATGGATACCACTATTTTAAACCAAGAGGTGTTGTTAAGCCTACAACTAAAGGATAAAATCCACATCTGCCCTCTTTCATGAAAGAATTGTTTTCTTTCAGCTTTTTAAGGGTTTCAATAATTATTGAAACCTGAGGATGGATTGCTGAAAATTTGAGAAACCTCAGGGAGGTCATTGGAATCATGCGATAGAATACTCGAACACTTTGAACTGAAAAGTTGAAATACAGTTCTGAAATTTACTGATATAAAGTGACTTCTCGTATTTATAGGCGTTGCAATGGATTTCCCTTAATCGCCCAAAAATTGGATGAATGGACTAAATTGTTCTTGTGACATATGTTTCGAAGGTTGCTATACCATTCATACAACAAATACAAATATCAAATTTATTTTTTTCTGAAAAAAAATTGTGGTCTTTCATTGGTGAACCAACTACTACATGATATAGTCCTCGCCTTATACATGGTTATTCAAAGAAAAAGTAACCTGCCCTTGTTTTCTCGACAGTAAATCTCCATTCTAAAATTATGGGTAGTGACAATTACCATAAGCTGCATCGAAAATAAAATAGAAGTTAAATGATTAGGTAATGGCAGAGTAATATAGTATAGCATTTTTTTTTGTAATATGATGTATATGAGATATAAAACGTAGTTGAAAATATAAATATATAGTTAGATTAATTGAAAAAAGTGTATAAATACAGAGGAGGGTAGTAATTATTTAGTTTGTGAGATAAAAAATGCAGTTGAAAATATAAAAATATAGTTAGAAAAGTAAGATTAATTTAGAAAAGTGTAGAAATACAAATGAGGATAGTAATTATTAGTGTGCGTAAATACATGATAGGTTGGATGGAATTTAGATGTGTTAGCGAGTGTCTATTGGGCACTCGTTAGAAAAACCCATCTTTAAATTATTACCACCTTAAATGGATTGTACAAATGATGATGAAATCTGCACTTGAAATGGATTTAAAATTGTATACATGACAAATTGTATTAGGAAAACAGGAATGTTACCGTGGATTTAAAAGTTACGGTCTACTCTTACATATTAGTTTTTCCAAGCGATATTTTAGTATTTCTATTCATCAATTTTAGACGCTTTGATGAATCTTTAAAATCCCAAACAGCACAGAATAACGATTGAGAGAGTTTTAGATACACTTGAAAATTTCAAAGTTTTACTGTCTTTGATGCTATTATAATGCTAATTTGAAAATTCCATGACAAGTTGTATTCGTACAGAGGATGATTCTGTCTAGCTCTGACAAATTCAATTACATCTAAACTGGCTCGAGCCACATCTGAAATACTACACACTCATCACCAGACTAATAGCATATGCTATGTACTGGTATTAGCAAAGTTAACCTTTTTATCCCCAAGATTGTGTACAATTTCATTTACATCCTTTTTCGTCTCATTATTTATTTTTTTAAAAGCATTGTTAAATGCTAAAATCACTCGATCACTTGCTTCTTATTCTTATATTTTGTCATTTAGAGTAACCATTGGATTGCATTAATACTAGAATATAGTTTAAGAGAGAGACTAAATGCTATTAGGCAATAGGTCTATAAAGTTGTTATCATTTTCCATTCGTGACAAACATATTGATGGCTGAGACCTCTCTCTCCGGGATGAAATCCTTGAGCATCAGGTTCCGTTGAAAATTTTCAAAATTTGTATGATGTACATGCATGTATTGTATGATGAATCAAATGATTCTAAAATGTACATACATTATAATGAATGCATATATATACATGTACGAGGAGATTCTTGAATATAAGGATAGATTCATATTTTTTATCATAGAATCATGTGATATACATGAGTTTGTACACAATACCTTGAATTTATTCATACAACTATTTATTAAAGTTCATTTATTATTTAAACAATCTCTCATATATAAAGAGGTCAAGTAGAGAGTGATTTGCTGTAGAAAGATATTAAGAGTTGTCCACTAACTATTGGAGTTCATAAACTATATTACTATAGCAAAAGTTAGACTAAACCATAAGAAGAAAGAAAATTTGTCTAACTTGCTAAAAGAGCAAAGACAGGCTAACCAGAGCATGCGTGGGGCACAATTTGCTTAATGGCCACAGTGGCATTCCTCATTCACCAATATTAGTGTTCTCACCTTTATTCCTACCCTCTATATACATATACATATATACATATATATGTATATATATATATATATATAATTTTAAACCACAATCTACAACCACAATCTACATTGCTGATCATCTCTTTTGGAAGTTTAACTTTGAAACAAAATATGAAAACAGACAAGCTAAAACAATTGGGTACAGAATTAAGATAACAGCCACCATAGGTAGTTGATCATGATGAAATCCAAAGTAGTCCCTCAAAAATTTGGATACTGTTGTAGGCTCTCCAAACACCTCAATCGGCTTGTCAATATCTCCATATTGGGACGTAAGCATTCCATTCAGTGTCCAAGATGTAGGAGCTAAATAGTATAACCATACCCACCACTTTGGAATTTGCTGAAAGTGAAAAAAAAAAAAAACCATGGGTAAGAATAGTAACAAGAAGTAAGTTTTCTTCAAACTGTAATAATCCCTTATATAAATTGCTTACTGGCCGAGGAATCAGAAATCCGGCAACAAGGTAATAGATATTGTAAAAAGCTGATTGTAGAACTGCAGCCACTGGAAAGCTTGGTGTAATTGAGACGATCATCATGCCGGTACAATTGAAGAACAGCAAGGTACAGAACATCGAGTAGATGTACCAAAAAACCTTGTAAGCTGACCAATAATACCCAATCATTGGATATGTGATTACCGTAAATGCCAATACTTGGATAAAGACATAAGGGATCTCAATAATGACCTGCAAAAAAAATGATGGCATCATGAAAATATTAGCAACTCTACTGGCAGAATTCTCTTATGGCTGTAGCATATTCTTGGAAGTGAAAGTGCGAGGAGGAGCCAATGCTCTGAAGATATGTCACTCATGGTCAGGTTTAGATTGCAGATTCTTGATTGATGAATGTGTAGAAGTCCTATATGACTATTGCTATCGAAAGGAGAAAAGGGAATATTTCAGAAGGCAGCATCGGATTCCAACAACCATTATTCTCATTTGAGTTATCGCGAATTAGTGGGTTCCAGCTACAAAAGAATTTGCAAAGCAATCATACTGGAACCTGACGAAGGTAAATTAGGCCCTTAATGTGAGTTCAATATACTAAAACTATTAAAACTCAAGATGTTTAATCCCAAAAAGATTCTAAATCTCACATCAGTGAATATGCTGTACTGTCAAATAGAGTACTTGACACTTAAAGTTGTACCTGAGCGAGTGTATAAGCCCAAGAAGCATACATTCCTGCAAATCTTTCCCTGTATAAAACAGTTCGCTCTGTGCTGACGTATGGCAAAATTGAAGACGAATTGTACACGCCACAAAAGAACATTGCGATAAACATGGAACCGAGTATATTGAATAAGTTTTGCTGATTTTCTCTGCAGAATAGAGGAAAAACACAGTCAATGATTTGAGGGGGAGAGGGTTGGGTTGGGTTGTAAGGTGGGAGGGATTGTAAGTAGGAGGTCTTGGGTTCAAGACCTCCCCAAGACCTCCCACTTACAAAAAAAGAAGAAGAAAAGAATCAGTGATTTGATCCTTAGTTACAGAAAGAAATTCAGATCCCAGAAGTTCAAATGAAATGGCATTCTCTCTCTAAAGAAAATGAAAAGTAGAAATATTTTGTGACACATTGAAGTTTTAATGGAAGTCCACTAAGTAATAAAAAATTATTCATGCTTACATAGGCCAAATCATGGTACGTGCTATTCACTATAGGTGCAAGAAAGTAGTAACACATCAGATCTAGGACACGGATGAATAGATAAATGATTGTTAGTTTTCTAAGAAAGGAACTAATCATATTTTCAAGATTTGAGTTAGACATACCACATTAGCATTTTCTTCTAGCAAATCTCAGTATTAAGATACTTACATCTTTTTCCCTTGCTTCCAAAACAATGCCCCGAAAATCAGAGACGTAATAATCATGAACATGAAGCGCATCAAGTTGTAAGAAGGACTTCTCCAGTAAGACCAATGTTGTTTCCAGAGACAAGTTTTGAACTGTCCCCAACCATTTTGTGCATACTGTGTTGGAAAATCCAAAGCTTCATGCCCAATAGGTGGCGAACTCAGGGTATTTGCAAGTTCTTTGTTATTCCTACGACAAATAAAAAAGAAAGGAATAAAAGAGCAATGTTATTCTTGAGGAGAATTCTGAGATCAGTGGCTTCAAAAAGAGATTGAAATTTTCAAGTGTTGTTTGTCACAGTGACGAGTTTAACATTATGATGTATTTAGAGTAAGTTAAGCTTGTATGTTGGACTGTTGGGTGGTTTGCTCTATGTGCCACTCAGTTTTGTGTTCATATTCATGCAGTCCAATAAAGCAGGTAGGGATCTATGCTGAATGCCGCTTGTAGAAGGTTTCAAGTTTAAAGAAAGAACAGGGAAATGCTGCCATGTCAAAGTATGAAATGCAAATTCTTCAATTAGAACGATTAGCTATCTAAGTGCCCAAATGGGTCATAACTGCAATTCTAGTTACTCAAGACAATTTAGTAAGACTAGAATATTGGCAATCTTGTCCAAACAACAAAGAAGATGCATACCGATGTTAAACTAGCATGATAGGAAATGAGTTGGTGGAAAGAATGTCACAGTGGCTGTCAAATGGAGGCAGTAGCCACCCCTATCCTCAATAAAGGTGCCACATTTCTAAGAACAGCTATCCATTGAAGTACTAATCAAAAGTAGAATAAGGCAGCACATAGTATTATCTTTCTTCAATTTTTCATTGACAAAACAGCATATACTGTAATTTTGGAAGCCAGCTTCCTGTCTCGATATTAGTCCATCTATCCACTTTATTGAATAAGAAAGGCAAGGAAGTCAGTGAAGATTAGGGTTATCACGTTATGACTCAAAAGAGGTACAACTTGGAGTGGTGGTGGCCAGGTGGTAGTCATCTATCCTCACCCAGCAAGAAAATATTTAGATAGCAATTACAAGATTGATGCCTATGGTCATCTGAGAAAAAGTGAAACTCACTTTAAAGTTCCACACTGTACCATTCAAAATCTTATCACAGTTGTTTTGCACCAAATACACATCATTCATGGTTCACAGTATAGTGGTAAAAGTTCAGGTATCTGAATTAGTTTATTCTACTTACTCGTACAAAGAAGAACGCTTGTAGATCTCAGCAAAATCTACTCCAAGCTCAGCTTCGGAAGACGTACAAGTAACCTCTAACATCCATGTTGCTGGATTGTAATTATTCCTTATTTTGGGCACACCTGGGATACCCTGTCAGAGTCTATTTTAATCAGATGGCACGAAAAATTATATCATACAAGAAGATGCAAATTGAACAATCCAGAAAGTGGCAACCTGTTTTGGAAACTGACCTCAAAGTATTGAATGACTTCACTAGAGTGTTGACCCAATGGTCCACAGTAGATCATACGTCCACCAGATTTTAGAAGAATTAACTGCAATATGTAAGCAAAGTTCACAATTGTACTAATAGTGATGTTCATTTTCTCAGAAAGTACTAAGCAGAAGACAGGATGATTACTGCATCATGGTTGACTGACATAAGAGATGCATGTGATAGCATGTAATATAAGACATTTGGATGCAGCAATCATAAAGCAAGACTCTTTCATCTTATGCAACTATGAGATCCAGAAACATTGCTAATGCTACATAAATTGAATAGCTGCAGATCTTCGAAAACAAAGAAACTATGGCATTCATTAAGTTAAACACGTTTCTGACTATACCAAAGAAATTCTAGGTCATACTGTTGTTGGCTGATTAGATTATTAGCCTCAGCTTTACATTCTTGTTTACATCTTCAAAAACATGATGCAGCAGCTACTAAATCTATTCTCACTTTTGACATGCTCAGTAATGCTGTGTAATAAGTTCAACGGAATAAGAGGCCTTACTGAAATGTCAATTTCCATTTTCTCTTCTGAATCTATTTTTCATATCATTAGATCCTATTTAGTAGCAACATCAATCGCAGATGTTGACTAACCAGCTGCAGTTGTTTCTTGGTTAGATGCTTACCTCATCAAATGCTTCAAATATGTCAATGCCTGGTTGGTGGATGGTGCAAACAATTGTTCTTCCCGTACTAGCCACATTCTTTATAGCTCGCATTACAATAGAAGCTGCTCTTGCATCTAATCCAGTTGTAGGCTCGTCCAGGAAGAAAATTGATGGGTTAGCAACAAATTCCACAGCAATTGTGAGCCGCTTGCGTTGCTCAGTCGACAAACCATTAACGCCTGGAATGCCCACTAGAGCATCTTTTATCCCATCAAGTTCAATGGTCTCAAGGACCTCTTTCACAAAATCCTACAGATATGAAGCCACTATTTTATGTTAAATTTCAAAAAACAGATACAAAAGCAAAACAATTAACCAACTTTTATGAAGGTAGTATCATACAATTTTAGTTTCCGAATCTATCTGCGGATGAAGTCTTAACCAAGCAGAAAATATGACTGATTCTTCTACAGTAATTTGAGGGGAATGTATGTCAGTTTGCTCACAGTAACCCGAGATTCGAGCAAAGGTCTTTTGAACTTTGGGAAACCCTCCAATCTTTATTTCTCCTTCTACAGTCCCACTAGTTTTTCTACCAGCAAGTACATCAAGAAGGGTTGTTTTTCCAGCTCCACTGGCTCCCATAAGTGCTGTAAGAACACCAGGCCTGAGGGTTCCTGTAATATCACAAAGAAGTTGGAGCCTTTTCTCTGGGAAACCTCGCTCTTTCAGGGCCTGAAACCAGATGAGCAGTGAACTAACACTTGTAATTTAGCCCAACATCCTAAGGAATCAAAAGTTTGATAAGAGCAGTTGTAATTACCAGAGGGGTCTCAACATAGTACTGCAAATCTTGGAACACCACAGTTAGTGGCTCAAAAGGTAAAACCATTTTTCCTGCTGAACCAGAGACTGAATCTCTTTTAGTTTCGGAAGATAGGTACCTGATGCTCAGAAGGAAGGCAACTTGTAGGGTTGCAACTGCAAAATAGTGGAAGTAATAGGCTAAAAACCCACCTTTTTGAGATTCAGTAGTGGTAGCAAGGGAAGGATTTGATGATTTTTCCTCCGCATGCTCTATAACATCCAGTTTCTTAGTTCTCTGTTCTTGCCAGTACTTCTCTCTAGATATGATAGCACGAGAACCAACAGCTGCATGTGTTGCAGTAATAACAAGTTGATACAGTAATTTGACATTTCATGCTTGAATATGTCACAAGATGAACTTACGGTTTAAATATGTTAAGGCCAAAGTGAAACCGAGATTGAACAGTAAAGTGAAGCCAAACAAAGCACCAACCGAAATCCAGAAAAAGTATCCGTCAAAGTTCAATCCTCGGGCATCAAGTGTTTTTTGTCCAATACTGGTGTTTGTTGGAAGCATCTATGCAGACATGAGATTAAAAAGAAATCACGAAAAGCAGTGTGAACATACAACATACAATAGATAATTAAATAGGTTACCATAACAGGATAGTTAACACCATAAACGTACCATGATGACAAAAAATGTCATCTAAAAGGTAGTTCTGATCTATCATAAAAGGTCAAACAATAGTTTTTGATATCTATGAACTACATAATAACTGGACATCATTCAGAGAGAAGTAACCCACTTAACTAGCAAGTAAAAGGACAGAAAAAGTATTGCCGTAAGAGGAAGTTTCATAAAGGAAAAACTGAAAGTGCTGCGTTTCTAATTAGCAATTTAGTTTATGTCTAGCCTGCTGTGTACCAATCTACCATAGCCCCAGACGATATGCATCAGTTTGGCAACCACCTCAAATAAGCCCTCATTGGTTGTCAAGAAACTCAATGTAATGTTAATGCCCTTGGTACATTGAGATGCTTGGTTACCTTCTTCCACCGTGAGGACAGAAATTCATTTAGAGTGAGTCCAATCTCGCCGTATGAGAGTGGAGAAACCCAAAAGCCCCACTTTAACCAATTTGGCATGGAGGCTGCAATAAAAATCACTTGTCAATTCGACTTCCTTTTCCTCTAAAAAGTTAGTTTCAGAGCATTGGAATTAGATGAAAAAGTACAAAAAATCTTACGTCTTGGAATTATGAAGCCACAGAAGGCGAAGACGAATAGCAGTGTCAAGAGACCAACCATCGAGGCAGAAACCACAGTTCGGCATACAGATGCAACAAACCGATACATGGATATTGATGCCACGTGAAGAGCAAATAATACAATTAAATGACGGAAGAACCTAGAAAACACTGGCACTTGGTTAGAGGATCACTAAACATTTTGCGTTCAGCCAACCATTCAACAGAACTCAAAATGATAAACATAAAAGTCGGATGAAATGATGAATACTTGTCAATCGTAATGCAATCAAATTTCAAAGACTCCAATTACTTCCAGGTCTTGTACGATGTGACTAACCTTCCTATCTCAGGATCATATCCAATGACATAATAAGTCAAACTTGTCCAAATTACAGCTTCGAACAATGAGAGCGGAACCTTCAGGATGGCACTTGGAATTGCATAAGCCCAAGCTGGATAGAAGAGTAAATCTCTCTGTTTGTAGAAAACTGCAAGCCTTCCAACAGTCATTGACAATTCTGGAAGTCCATTAACAACAAGCAGGCCACCCGCGAAGAACAAAGCTCCCATGTACTTGTTTGCATGAAGAAGATCAAAGCTCATCATTGTCCGTAAAAATATAGTCATCGAGATAGATGCTGAAATGGAAATCTGCAAATGAAACTTGCTAAATACTCAATTATAGCGTGGAAAGAATATCGACAGAAGAACTGAGATGTCTATAAATAATTAATACAGGTGAAAAAAACATACATTTTCAAAGGCAAACGAAGTGAAGAAACCAAAGTAAACATGTATTTGCTAACCTGAGCGGATTTAAAAATGTAGACGAATCGATTCCTTTTCATCAGCAGGAATTCTCTTGACATACATGCTCTCAAAAGTTCCCATTTAGGAAGTGAATATGCAGTAAAAGTCATAGCATCCTTGTGGCTCTTGGACTTCACTGATGGTGCAGATAGTTGTTCTCTTAGCTTCTCCCCATAAGATGATTGTTTAAATTTTCTTGAAAATGCATCAACAGAGGTATAGTTGTAAGTTTCTTCAGTCGTAAACCAGTATTGTGCTTGATCCTTTCCTGAAATAACCTACAAAGGATTCACCAAGTTTCAGGAAAATGAAAAGCGGTGAAAAAACATGAAACAAACAGGTGTTAACCTCCTGTAGGAAGTCTGCTACTCCTTTTCTTTCAGGACACCTAAATCCACAACTCTCAAAAAATTCTAGAGCACTGCTTCTAGGTCCGTGATAGACAATCTTTCCTTCACTCATCAAGATAATGTCATCAAACAGATCAAATGTTTCTGGAGCAGGCTGAAGAAGTGAAATGAGTATGGTAGCATCTAGGATATGTGCTAGTTGCTGAAGGCAAGCAACAATCTGATAGGTGGTTGAACTATCCAATCCATTTGATATTTCGTCCATGAACAAAGCTCTTGTAGGGCCAACAATCATTTCCCCTGAATAGCAGTATATATCACATTAAATCTGCCTTTTACATTTTCAGTCAAAAGATTGAGCTGCTACACTTGGAAAACATGTTTATTATGCTTGGCTAAATTTATGAGCTAAAACAATAAATAAAGCATCTTTTAGCAACAATAGTACCTGTTGTCAATCTCTTTTTCTGACCACCAGAGACACCTCTCCTCATTGGATCTCCTACCAGTGTGTCAGCACAAGTATCAATCCCAAGTATCTGAAACAAGGTGCACCATCAAGAATATAGTAACATATATTGGATGTTGAATTTAAACTTCCAAAAAACCTTTAAAGGACGAATACTTTTAGAATGTAGTCCGTTCGAAGTGTTGTCTTTTGTCCTTCAACAGAACTTGCCTGTAAAATAGCCAAAAGATAGAAATGAACCAGGCATCAACTTGAAATTGACAAACTGAAGGGAAGGAGTAACGAGAGAGAGCGAGTGTGTGTTTGTCTATGAGCGCATGTTGAAGAAAATGTGTTGAAGACATATTATCAGAATAACACTTCAGAATAGCAGAATAGCTGAATAGGAGGTGAATATATCAATCATTTTTTATCACACTTTAAATGCTAAAGCTTCTACAAATTAGCATTAAAGAAATGGAAATAGGCCAACTAATTATTGCAATTTGCAAGCGTGAACTCAGCTGCAATTGGTGCTGAAACATGATTGTTGAAAACAGAGGTAACCACCAGTCAAACTCAATTCATCTATCATGCATTAAATGTGTCACCTCTGGGCAGCAACATTTGCATCCTAGTTGGAAAGAAGTCCTATGTTACATTCAGTATTTCTATCATGCATAAATTGAAGTACCACTTCAGTCGGTATAATACGCCACTTAAGATCACATTGCAGAAAAGCGATTATAAATTTAAGTCTACTTTTTATAAAAACTGTTTACAGAAAAGTTCTTTCTCAGAAACAGTCATTTTCTTAGTTGTGGATTATATGACCAGAATCAGAATAAGCCCATAAAAGTCTTTCATAATATTTAGCAAGAAAAAGAAATATACATGGACTGTAGATTGAAAACGACCAAAAAAAAAATGAAGTTAAATAATCAAAACAAGGCCATATATATATACATCAATCAAATAATATTACCAGGATTTGAGGAAAACTGAACAAAAATTTATGAGGGAATTTGCTTTGCAAAGGCAAGGTTTCACTTCCAATAAATTCAATGTTAACAAAACGCCAAATGATTCAGCATACATCAGATGATGAACAATGAGATTCCAAAACTACCTTCATGTAGGTATCAATATCTGGATCAGGAAGAATTCCAGCCTCTTTCTCCCTTCGACTAAGCTCAGTCATTATCTCTTTACAAGGTGGAAAGGCATAAGTAATTTTCTCATCAACATAGTATAATGTTCATATCTAAAGGGGCATACCTGCTCTGCTTCCAACACCTTGACAGCGCAATGAGAAATCAAGTGTTTCCCTTAAGGTCATTTCACCATTATGCAGGTCATACTGGCTTATATAAGCAGAAGTTTTTTGAGGCACAAATTCTGTTAATTTGTATCCATTGTATGAAATGTCCCCAGTAACCTGTTAATAAGCTGAGTTTTGATTATAGATACTATGCACTGAGCTCTTACACTGTCAAAACTTCTATTCTTGTCAGTTTAAAGGAAGAGCAAAATGACTTCTATGTCATGGAATATGAAAGATTCTAATAAGCCAAATTACTTCTGTCCCTAGAACTTACTAGTGCTAGTTTTCATTAACAAGGCTTCAAAAGCTATTTTACCGCTATAATCCCTCAGAACAATTAACTTAATTACTTTGGAATAGCATTCTTCTGCAAACAAATATGAATGCTCAAAGTTTGTAATTTATTCAAACCCAAGATAAGCTACAAATGTCATTTTGCATAACTCATCTCTATTTACTTTTCTTTATCCCCCACAAGTAAAAAATCATCAAGAGATCAAAATCAAAATCTTATCTGTCTCCCGAGTTACTATAAGTTACTCTATCAGTATATATATGAGCAATATATTCGTCAAGATGAAACATAGAGCATGTGAGGACCTTGAGTGATTGGTTAAGATTTCCAGAAAGCGCTTTTAATAGAGTGGTCTTCCCACATCCTGGAGGACCAAGCAGGAGAGTCATTCTGCATTTAGAATTTACATATATAAGTACCATATAATTCTGCATTCAGAGTTTATATATAAGACGTGAACGAAAAATGAAAGGTTAGCATGGAGAGTTGGATACATTCCAGTAACTTTGAAGATAACCCGAGAGAGAGAGAGAGAGAGAGAGAGAGAGAGAGAGAGAGAGAGAGAGAGAAGAAGCAGAAACTGCAGTAGCATGAAATTTGTAACAGATAACTGATTTCTAAAGGAAACTACGACATTCTTATTGGCTTGAACATATTATAAATAGACTAGCAAAATGAGCATACCTTCCAGGCTTAATGATACCGCTAACACCATCAATGATGCTGATCTTTGATACTAGTGATTTAACACCTAGAAGCCTTGTAATGTCCTGTGGACGGACATAAATCACTATCAATTCTTAAGGAAGCAACAGATGTAAATTAGAAAAACTGCTGAAATGGCTTTTTAATACTTCAAAGGCATAAAATAAGTACCTCCTCATTCTATTGAGGAAACAAATACAAACAATGTATCAGAGAGATTTCCATTCATCATACTATTTATATTATCTGTAAAAGCGATTGGAATTGGATAAATCATAATTGTTATTTATGATAGATAGATACGCACATCAGCAGCTCCACATGGTGTCATGATGTGGATCAAATAATTATTTCAGGGTATAAATGAAAAAGAAAAAATTCTTTTCCAAAAATTTTTTAATGGTGTAAGGCTTGCTGCTCAATCAATCTCATTTCATATTATCCATGACTTTTTATCTCCAGGGTAATCAAAGCATAGGGTAGAAATGAAGAAGCACTTTTGCATCACACTAGAAATTCAGTTTACTGTAACTTGACTGTAAAAGAAGAGAAACAATGTTTACATCCTAAAATTAATCATTAGATTCTAATGACTGGAAAAATTGTTTAAAAAGTTTGTTGTAGTTAGGCTTTTAGCATTGAATTCAATACTGAGTCAGCTCAAAGATGCACCCCTATAACACTCTTGCATTAGATGATAGAGTAGACAGACTTAGACTCTTTGATTGAAGAACTAACAGCAAAATAGAAGCTGAGCACAAACTTACTGGAAGACTACTTTTAAAGGAATTCCAAAGAGTTGGAAGAGGCTTCCCTTCAACAACTTCACAATCAGCTTCTACATGAAGATCATCATATCTTACTTCCACTGATGGAAATTCTAAACCAACTCTACAGAAATCAATTGAAAGTTAGACTGCAATTAATCTGAAATGACAATGAGAATCGTTAACTATTGAAGAAATAATAGCTAACCTTATAAGCCATAACTACAACATCTAAATAGGACATAACAGTTTTACTTTTTCCGTAGATGTTTTCATTTGTTCTTTTTGGAGTGATGACAATATTCAGACAAAGGATATCAAGAGTCATGACATATTACATTAACTTTAGTTGTCATCAATTAGAAAAACCTTGCTGTCCTGGTTCAAAAGGAGAAGAAACATTACTTGTTCATTCTTTTTCTCATTTTCTGAAGCAATTGAAGGTTGTCATGCTCAATGTGTTTAATCAGCCTCTCAACGAACACATGCCTTTCTGGAGCACTGAGTTTGGTAACATCAATCACTCGTTTTCTTTTATCTTCAGCTTCATTGCCATCAGGCTCATCAAACAAAGATGATCTGAGCCGTTCAAAAGTAGGCAGTCTCTCAATAGCAGCCCATTGCAATGCAGTTTCTTCATCAAGATTACCATCCCTTCCAGTACTCAAGACTGAACTCCTGAAACTGGAGCTGAGACGCCGCAATGAGAATCTCAAGCTTCTTCCCACTTCTGACAACTCATTTCTTATTGACTCTATCTCATCTGTTCCAACTAAACTAGCCATGATTCTGTGACTCTCTGCACTGCTCCAATCCTACATTCACTGGGACAAATACAGAAAACATCGGTATGTCAGTCAGTTTATATAGGATCTTGACTGCAATTATGAATGAGGTATGACCATACGTCATCCTTAATATTTTCTTGAGCAAGGATACTTGCACGCCATATGAACCCGCTACAGTCAAAGAAGGATTCTTATACCACCTAATAACAAGACTTGATGGTAAACAAATTGGGGTGTATTCACAACTCATCAGTTTTGGCTGTTTCTTTAATGAAAACCTCAGAAAACTGATATTAAATCCATAAACATTTAGAATCCAAGTTACATGATACCGTAGTTGACTTTGCACCTTAATCAAAATATCTGTACCCTATAAAGATTGCCATTTCCTGCCCGTCCTTGGTGCCTTTCAGGCCTTACTGAAGCAAGAATAAGGCCTTTCAACTATTCCGTCAATTTGATATTGCTGACCTTCATACATTCAATCAATTAATTAAGTATATTCTAGGGGACCAGCAGTTCATAAATCCATTATATAACTTATCTTTTAGTTTAGCAAAATTTGGAATCTTTTATAGATTATTGATGATGAGTTCGTTCCTCTGTAACTTCACTTATACGGCTAAATAACACCTTTAACCCTTAGAACCACCAGTGGGGGTACTATCTAGCAAAGCTACCTTTTTTTTTTTTTTTTTTTTAATATTCTCTATAAGAGTTATACCAAGCATGACCTCCCAAAACATACAAATTCACAAATGTTGCTCGAACTCGACTCGACCACTCAGTGAAAGTTCAAGCATGCCTTTGGCATGCACAATGTCCATCATCACTCAACGCAATCAAACAGCCAAAAATGGTTTCTTCCCCACATTAACTTTGTATACATCTCAAAAAACTCTAAAAACGGTCAAGATATATTTGGATTCATGGCTATGGATGTGCCGCCGCCTCGTGGTCCCATCTGGTATGTCAACTTGTTAGCATCAACGCTAGTTTTTATGATGAGTTTTTCCCTGAAATGTTAAATCACTGCACAAGAAGGGGAGGAGGATGAAACATGATTATTCACGAACTCTCGCCATATATATAGATATATATATAGAACTGCTACCTGTAAGATTACACATAAAATGCTGATGCATAAAACATATGTATTGGTCCAAACTCTAATGTGTACAATATGTTGGTGGTTGTAGGGTTCTGGGAGATGTGTTCATGGGAGTGTACCACACCGTGTTTGATTATGGTAATCTCCGGATGGGTTTCGCAAAGCTGCTTAGACAAGACTGTTTATTTCGTCTACTGTTTGACGGTCCTAAGCGAAGAAGCTATGAAGACATGTAGTAGCTTGTAAATTAGGATTTTTAATGATGCTTGGCTGGCTTATTTAGGGTGGTTGTGCTTTAATATTGGATTTTTATATGTAATGTAAATATCTATGCGGATATGCTACCTTGTTCTAGAGTTTCAAGGAAACTGCAGTATCTACTTTGGTCAAAAATGGTGCCACTATCTATTACTCATCCTTCGGTTTCAATTATTTAGTCACGTGTTCGCGAAAGAATAGTTTTTTATTGTGATGTTTATGTTTTTTCTGAATTTTATTTTTATAAATTTAAAATTTGAATTTGAATGATAACATGAATATATTAAAGAGAGGGACGATATTGAAAAGAGAAATTAAAAGGTGCTTTTAAAAGGTAACAAATATTTCGGGATATTTCAAAATAAAGGCGGGGGGTAACATTTTAACATGAGTTGTTGCTCTCCAGTTTCTACTGCTGTGGTCCAATCATACAGGCCACATCAATCAGAGGCCCGCGATATCCGGTCTTATTCAAGACAGACAACTATGAGTATGTGAAATTTGCTCTTGCAGGCCCACTGGTGAGATGTATAGCGTGTGTGCGTCGAACAGGGCCTGATGTGCAGTTTCGTCTGAGAAAACATACAAATGAAACTCATGTTATAAGTGTTATTTTGGCCCAAGGCATGTCTGGAACTCCTTGTTGCGATAACCATGAAATGTGTGGAATTTTTTTTTTTCTTCTTCTTTTTTCGACAGTCAGGCATTAGTTTACAAACTTATTTCGATATTAGTTTACTAACTTATTTTAAAGGGAGAGTTCAACTGAGCCATTGAGGGATCGATGGAAACTGAACCACCGTGAATAGATGGATACATGGTATGAAATGTGTGGGATATAGTAGCTCTCAATTCCTTCGAACTTGCAAAACACCGAAATTTTCTACCATGGGAAATCCGTGGCATGTGATTTACCCTGAGACCTGTATGCACCATCGCGTGTATGGACAAGTCTCTATGTATACTAACAGTCTATATGTTATTACTGTTAGATTTATTATACATGTGTAAAAATTAAATTTTACATAATTATCATTTATTCAATACCGAGTGATTAATCCTGAATATATATGCATACCACCTGTACAAAACTTGACCATAGTAAACTTATTACACCTGCTATTTGCATCAAGTGTAGACATTTGAGGTAACAGATCATAAATTTCCAAATTTAAGTTTCAATCATCAAAAGCTTAAAACACTATTCAAAGACACTTTTAAAAATTTGATAACCAGACAATGCCATTTAAAACAATGTCATGCAGTGCAAAATTAAATGTCCGGATATCCATATATAACACATTTTACAACAAGAGTCAATAATAGCACAAATCACAATTACAGAGGACCAGGAAATACAGAACGGTACTCGATCAAGGAAACTCATCTACCACAATTTCCTCCTCCAAAATACACACGTTTCCTCTACTCCTCATCACTGTTATTGCTGAAAACTGAAGCAACTGGTACTTTTGGCTTTTTCGTGGCGCTTTTAACCAAGTTCTGCTTCAAACAAAAACAACATATAAAGGATAAGCAGAATCCATAAATAATCAGCACGTTTAAAACATAAATAAAATGCCTGGATATGAGGATGGGGAAGCATAATTTGACAATTTCAGCCAAAAAAAAAAAGCAGCAGTTTAGGCATTTCTGCCTACTCAAGATTCTAGTTAGAAATCTCGTTTCCAGAGCAACGAATTGTCCTTCAAATAAAACTAGCATATCAGTGAAAAGTACAAAAATGGCTTCTAACCTCCAATCAATTTGCTAATCAATCATTACAAGTAGTTGATTATCAATCTCTATCTTTCATCAATCTGCGTGAGCAGTTTCGAGAAAATCCTTTGCAAAAGATGATATTACTTAAATTCTTCTATCAAATTTTATCTCTTTTCTTCTTCATTCCCACAAAGGATTATCAAAACCGATAAAATGAATTTTAAGGGGTAATAAATGACGGTGACAAAATGTAGAGAGACACTAGAATGAAATTGCATAATTGGGTATCACCATTTGTTCATGTTTTAAAAGCTAACTTTATCTCTCTTCTAAAACATCAGTCGTTTCTGCACAACCAGAACTAAGATCTTTGAAAACTCTGTCGACTCTCTCTTCTTTTTTTGTTTGGGGGGGGGGGGGGATTGAAACAAAGGGTGAGAAGGTTGGTTTATCACGTCAATCTGGTATATCATTACATTTCTGACAAGTGGGACTAATGTTAAACCAATATCACATTGTAGTTAAGAAAAGGGGGAAAAAGGTTGACATTCAACTCTCATAGTACCTTCGAGGTGCTGACTTTTGCAGCAAATCCAAACTTCAAAGCCTTCCTCTGGTCCTGATCAGCAAGTGCAGTAGCACTATTCACTGCAGCAGAGACTGGGATGCTACCAGATTCCTCATGCTTCTGCTGCTGCTTCTGTGCATCAGCCCTGGGGTGGTATTAGATAGAGTTAGCCATCAACAGGTATCACCGATTAACCTCTTCTCCTCACCCAAAAATAACAAAAGAGAATCCCTCAAGAGAAAAAAGGTAGATCAACGAAACTACATCTGTGCAAAACTTTGCGATTTCTCTCTCTTGACGTTGTTGTTCTCTTTTCTGCCTGTCATCACGACTGCTACTTCCATGCATTTCCCTCATCTCTTTGAACCTCTGGATTTGACACAAAAAAGAAGAAGATGAGATTCAGACAGGCAAGAAGAGTGCAATAAGAACAACAAACCCAATGAACAAGTAGTAGTGAATCAGCTGAAGAAAGACTACAACCTTTCTGTGGTTGTGGTCATATGAGCTTAGATGTGCTTCAAATTCCATTGCCAATTTATATTGCTTGTTGCAGAGATCACAAAAGAACACCTTGCGAATTTCTTTCACTTCAGTTTGAATTTTCTGCTCACGTTCTGCTATAACCTGGATTTTCAATGTGCAGGAAGCAGGCAGTAGAAGCCACCAGGTAATAAAAACTGCACGAAATTCTCAAGACCTTCCAAAGTTGATGTTCGCATATGATATACCATTCCCGTCAAAAGACACACATATATGCTATATGCTGCCTTCTGTTATTAGATGTATGTTTCAGAGAAATAAAGCATCAACTCGAATTATCTCTTATTGAAAATATTTACCACTACTGACAACTTTAATGGCATACCTCCCGTTTCTTAACAAGTTCATCAGTCTCCTCAACCTCAACATCCAACTTTCTTCGCTGGATGTTTTCCTCTGCTGTAAAATAATCATCTTCTTCTTGTTTTCCAATCCCTAATTTTGGGTCTCTTATACCAGATTTTATGGGCTCAATTATGCCTGCTTATACAGAAGACGTGAACATGATATTAGGTAACAGGATAGCAATAATGGTAAATATGACACTCCAGAAAGCCATGAAACAAGAAGCAGAGAAGGTTCCAGATGAGCTTCCACAGTTTGCAAACCCTTAAGAGAGAACCAAATAACAATTTCATTTAAGCAGGATTCAAACGCCTAATGCAAAAATGGGACCCAGCTAGTCATCAGCATTGCTAATAATGACAACATATAGTCTGTTACAAGATTGCAAATACCTGCTGTCAAGATACCCAAAACCAACATCATCTCTACAAAATATCCTTTAAAGAGAAAAATTTTACAAAA